AATGCAAAGGCTTAATCACTGAGCTACATCCTCAATATAATGGGAATTTATTGATGTCAGTTTCTAGACAGCATAAAGGAATAATTTCCCAGAATAAAAATCTAGGGAAGTCCTTTCCAGAATAAAAATGCTGGTTTTTTGATTAATAGTAATCACCTGAAAAGAGGGAACCTCATCTAAGAAATGGCTCCCATCAGATTGGCCAGGGGTTATATCTGTGGGTTATTTTCTGGATCAGTGATGAATATGGGAGGGCCCGGCTCATTGTGGGGTGTGTCACCCCTAGGCAGGTGGTCCTGAGTTATACAAGTAAACAAGATGAGCACATGGGAAGCAAAGCAGTAAAGAGCATTCCTCCACAGTTTCTGCCTTTGTTCCTGGGTGACTTTCTTCAGTGACACACTGCCATGGGAACATAGAAGCCATAGAAACTGTTCCCTCCCCACATTCCTTTGGTCCTGGTGTTTATCACAGCAACAGAAAGCTAACCAGGACAGAGGTTCAGTGGGAGGGTCCTTGTCTACCATGTGGAAGAGCCTAGGTTGATCCCAACACGGAAAAGAAAAATAATTATATTCAAACAGAGAGAGAAAGAGAAAGACAGAAATAGGGAGACAGGGAGAGACGGAGAAAAAGAGAGAGATAGCTCTATAAACTCAGAAACCTAGAAGTCCCTGCTTTTCAGAATCTAAATGTCACCTCTTTTAATTTGGGGTTTATTCTGTGGCTATAGAATGGCAATTTGAGTCAAGATCAGGTAAGAATGTGTTTAGATCTGTAGTAGTCCTTCCACTGGGGATTAAGTGGGGATGAATCTGACTCCACAGTGGACCCTTCAGCTTCTTTCCTAACAGTAATGGTGAACTTCCCATACTCAGGTACTCAGCTCCTGTTGGATGCTTGTGTGGAAGCCAGTGTCCCAGTCTTTATCTACAGCAGCTCAGTGTCTGTGGCTGGACCAAACTCCTACAAGGACATCATCCAGAATGGCTGTGAAGAAGACAATCATGAAAGAACATCATCTCATCCTTACCCATACAGCAAAAAGATGGCTGAGAAGGCAGTGCTGGCAGCGAATGGGTGCAGCCTGAAAGATGGTGGCACTTTGCATACTTGTGCCTTAAGACTCCCATTCATCTATGGGGAAGGGAGTCAACACATTTCATACACAGTGAATAGAGCACTCAAGAATAATGGCATACTTGACAATTTTGCCAAATTCTCTGTGGTCAACCCAGTGTTTGTGAGTAATGCAGCCTGGGCACACGTTCTGGCAGCCAGCAGCCTACGAGACCCCAAGAAGTCACCAAGCATCCAAGGTCAGTTCTACTACATCACAGATGACACCCCTCACCAAAGCTATGATGATTTATATTATGCCCTGAGCAAGGACTGGGGGTTCCACCTTGATCCCAGTTGGAGCCTTCCTCTGCCCATGCTCTACTGGCTTGCCTTCCTGTTGGAAACTGTGAGCTTCCTGCTGCATCCAATCTACAATTACCAGCCTCCTTTTAATCGCTATATGGTCACAATGTCAAATAGTGTGTTCACCTTCTCCTACAAGAAAGCTCAGCGAGATCTGGGCTATGAGCCACCTGTCAGCTGGGAGGAAGCCAGACAGAAAACTTCTCAGTGGATCGGGTCACTAGTGGAGCAGCACAAGGAGACACTGAACACAAAGACTCAGTGATGTGACCATGGCAGGGACATGGCCCTGAAGTTGTCAGGTCCTCCAGAAAGGGTCTAAGACACAACCCATCTCCTACAGTTCCCTTTGACACACTGGCCAACTTGTCTTCCAGTCACCAAAGCCTTGCCAGGCACTGACCCAAACTTTTGCCCTGAGCACTTGCCCAGAGACACACAGGCTGTGCCTCAACTGCTGTGACCAAAGGCTCAGTTTCTGGTGGTGAACTGAGCAGAGTCTCCTGTAACTTAGAATTTCATCAGTGTTTCCATTTCCCCTCTCACAGTTCCAAAGCATTGCTTGTCTGAGAAAATTCCCATTGCTTCATGAAGCTCAAAGAAAGAACAATAAAAAGGTTTCATGACTAATCCAGAGAAGGTTGGTTTGGTGAATCTTGATTACAGCTTTCCTTACTATATCCAAGTAAGGCCATAGTCAGAATAGAAACAGAATGTCACTCCCATGGATGTGGGCCCAAGCATGGACTAGATGACTGACCTGGGGTGCCTCAGTTCAGCATCACCAGGTCACAGACAACATCTTACTCATGGTCTTAGGAAATTCAAGCCCACCTCCTCCCACTGAATGGTGGAGGTCATATTGGTTGTCAGTGGCTACAGCACAGCCCTGGAACATAGTCTGTTCCTCCAGGGAAGAGCCTTGCCTCCCTTTGTCTCCCTCCTTCTTACCATTCTTACCAACCATACATGGGGCTCTCTAGAACCAGGACAAGCATTGAGAGCTACCCAGTAGACTGTAACACTGTTAGAAATGGCCCTGGGCATCAGAGATGATCTGAGAGTCTCCTTGTAATGAATTCCTCCAAATGTACCTCCTCCTAGCCTACAATGTGAAAATCTGCTACCCCTCCCTTTAAATGTAGCTGCCTCTCCCTCTCTTTCCCTCCATTTCCCAATCTCTTAAGCCCATATCCTTCTATAGCCTTAGCATCTTTCCTTCCCCTCCCTCCCTCTCATCCCCCAGCTTCCCTGAGCTGAGGAAGCCTGTCAGGACAGGGTTGAGGCCTTACAAGATAACAGAGTCAGTAGCTTACTACAGAACCCACAATTGTAAGAGGGCCCGTCTGCTCAACCAGACATCATCAACCTGAGGGAGCTGTGGGGACACAGTATAGAGGAAAGAAAACTGTCTCCTGTCACAACTGGGTAGTAACTCACCTACCTTTTGGTATCACAGACAACATGAAAGTCACATCCATCATCACTACTTCTTTCTCACCCCACATTGATTAATGTTCGTAGGATGACATTGATTGGGACTGAGCTCCTGTACGAGGATCAGGAGACAAAACCATGCTGAAGTTCTACACAGCAAAGCAAACCTAAGAGTGTTTTCTGGTTACTACAATATCAGGAGAGAGAAACAAGCACCATTTTCAAGCAGGCCATTTATAACCTAGGAAGCCCCACTGGTTTCACATTAGCAAGGGGTCATCTGGAAGTGGATGTTCTGCCTTTGTCAGCCAGTCCTGCTTCCTTTGTCCTGCCAGGCCGAGAGAGCCCCAGTTTGGCTCACTGGACAGTGTTCTATGGTAAAAAAAAAAAAAAGGAAGAGACACCTGTTTCTGAGAATAAAAGTAAATTCCAAGGACAATTTCTAGCCATAATTGGCTACATGTTTCTGTTTTGACTCCTCACTCATCAGTTCTTTAAGAGGACACTCACTGAGGATGTAGCTTTAGCATTCACTCTATAAGAGGGCACCACCCACAAGGACACAAGTAAGAGCTCTCACCTGGCTCCCAGGTGGGGGCAGCTGAGGACTGGAGCTCATACACCCCACGCAGCTTGTCCAGAGTGAGTGTCCATGAGCCCCGGGTAAACTGAACGCCTTCCACAAGCCTGTTCCATTAGCTCAGAAGGAAAGGATATGGTGGGGTAGGAGAAAGGATCTTCAGTCTTGATTTCAGCCAACTTAAATTCCTCATTGAATTCACTGGTCCATTTTCTCAGGGGAAAGCAGTCTCCCAAGTTCTAACAAGGGTGAGCGGAAAGAAAGGAGAGTGACCGGGTTTGTGCGTCTAGCCTGACAAGCATAAGGCCATAGAATCCTTTGGATAACAAAAACCCCACCCCCTTACCTACTCAGTCTGGGTACAGAGTTGCTGGTGGCAGTTACAGCTCCTACACACCGAAGTCATGTACTACATGCAATCCACCACAAGGAGGCAGTAAAGGCACAGGAAGATTGGCAGGTGCCCCAGCCTGTGAGCCTCCTCCTCTTTTCCTCTGGATTCTGCAGTCTGTGGCCAAGGAATAAAGGAAGCTCAGAGATGTGCTCACCCACAGGTTTAAGTGTGATGTACAAATGATGGAAGAGAATGGAGTTGTACAGAAGGTGTCCAGGAAAGCTTTACAAATGTTTTGGGACTTTAAAGGATTGTCAGGTGGGTCTATGCAGGGAGGACAGCCCAAGAGATGGTGCAAAGGAGGAGTGTGCAGGTGGAGGAGGAGGAGGGCCAGTGAGTAAGGAGGCTGGACACCACTTAGCAGGGTTTGCTGAGAGACAGTGGGTGTCCTGGGTGCCAGACACAGCTGAGCACTAGGCTAGGGTGGCCTCTGGGGACCCAGCAGAGTGTTCAGTAGATGGTCTGTTTAAGAGGCCACCTGCAGGAGAATGTCCAAAGACAATGCTTGTTCCTTGATCTCCAAATACTGGAGTGTGATCTTTGGGCAGCAGAGTGACACCACACGGCTCAAGGAAGAGGGGGAGAGGTCCCTGCTCCTCAGCTGGGTGTGGATCCTGTTTCTTAACCAGAAGGTGGGAGGCTCCAGTGACTCAACTGTTTCTCCTTGGTGTGAGATCCCAGTACACACTTCATCGAAATCTGACCCTTCAGAAAACTCGATATGAGCTTTAATTTAAAAAGATGCAATCTAATGGAAAAGAAGTATGAAATCTGAGAAAAGGTATTTGATGGTGAACTCGGGGCCCTGTCCCAGTGCTCCAACCCTGATCCAGACTTTCAGTCTAGTAAAGGGAGAAAAATATGACAGGTAGGGGCTCTAGGTGGAAGGTGCACAGTGTCCTGAGACGGTCAGGTGCTAAGGGAGGTCGGTATTTCTGCTGGATGAGGGAAGCACATACTGTGAGCTTTAGCAATGAATAATGGCAGTCAGGGGACAGGCCCCGGCCCCACTCAATACGCTATGGAAAGCAGTAAGTATTTAACTTCAGCTTACTTGAAAGCATCCTGGGGCAGATGGATTAGAAGAGATGATGGGACATTCAAAGAGTCTAGCAGCAAAGTGGAGGCCTGATGCATGTGACTGCAGCAAAGTGGAGGCCTGATGCATGTGACTGCAGCAAAGTGGAATTCAGGTCTAGTGAGGCAAGCCTGGGAAGAGACACCAGCAATGATTAATTGTCCTCACTGCAGACCCTTGGGAACATGCAGCAGGAACTATCTGATGTCACACAGTGCCCTCTGCTAGTTAGTTTTAACCATCATTTTGACAGTGCCTAGAATCACCTGGGAAGGCAGTTTTTTACAAGGAATTATGTAGACTAGGTTGGCTGCTTGCATGGCTGTTATTAATCAACGTGAGAAGGTGTGAGAGAGAAGAAAACTTCAGGGACCAGAAGCAGCAGCAGGCGGCATGGATGCATTTGCACTTTCCTTTTCCTGACTGTGTATGTGATATGACCGGTCTCTTAAGTCCCTGCCTTGACATCCCCAGAATGACAGACTGTAACCTGTGGTAGTATGCCAAACTCTTTCCCCTTTATTCAGCTTCTGGCCAGTGAATTTGTCACAGCAACAGAAGTGAAGTCAGAATCCAAGCATTCCATCCCTTCTGCCGGAACTCCAAACCCTGCATGCTTTCTCTTCTCTCTGGCAGCCTAGCTTTGCTGCAGTTATCAGCATCCCTTGCCTCCTCCCCCATTCAGGTCTTACTGCCTTATTAGTCATCCATTACATCCTCATCTGATCCCTATATCACTCAGTTCGATGGTTCACAAATTTTAAAACTTGAAACTTCCTCCACACGCCAAGCTTTTCTATATGGTCATGCAGGATGTTCTCTTTCAAAAGCACAGAGATATGGACCTCAGGGGACAGACTACAGGGACCAGTTTTATACAAGGCTAGCCAATAGAGAGAGAACTGGGGTTGATAAATCAGGATACCCATCAGTTTATAGTGGCAGGGAGGAGATTTCCCTCTTTCCAATCATGATGATACCGACTGCTTGTGAAGTGATATTGGTCAAGCTTGACATTGTTTGTAAGGAAGCTGTGCTACTAGGTTTGTGATTGAGAGTTCCTGGTAAACTGTGGTTAGGAATGCTTCATTCTTCTCACTTTCCTTTTCCAGTGTCTAAATTATGAAGAGTGCTTGCTTCTAAAAACCCCTTGAATAGGAAAGTGGATCCTGTGTATTTGAACCCACTTTGTAAAGAATGTTGGGTAAGATACATATGCATTTAAGATTGCTGTCACGTGGGATTCTTCTCTCCACACCTAAACAGCACAGGCCCCAGACTCCAGACTCCATGCAGAAACTCTTTCCTACTGTGTGTTTAGGATTCCATACCTGGGGCTGAACACAGCACTGGCACTCTCTCCCTTGGATGTGCAAGGAATCTGAGTTAGGATTCTGAAGTTTGTGTTCCACAAATCTGTTAGTAATTCCCTGAGAAAGAAAATGACAAACAGAATCAGGGGCTCTGTGGGTGTTCAACTGTGAGCTTTTAGACAAAGCCTGCTCTGTAGTGAAATATTATTTTAAGATGTGTTACATTTGTTTATGCTGTGGAATATTTGATTTAATGATGGAAAAATATGTTGCAATCTTTTATGATGCTGTTGTTTAAGTCCGTGAAGCTGCGTTACATTGCCTGTCTAAAACACCTGATTTGTCTAATAAAGAGCTGAACAGTCAATAGCAAGGCAGGAGAGAGGATAGGCTGGGTAGGGAGAGAGAATAAAGAGAAGAAGAAATCTGGAAGAAGATAGAAGGAATGAGAAAAGGAGCAGAGCATTCACAGGCCAGCCACCCATCTTCACAACAAGCCATGGAGTAAAAAGTCATGAAAGATACACAGAAATACAGAAAGGTAAAAGCACAGAGGAAAAAATAGATGGGATAATTGAAGTTAAGAAAAGCTGACTGTAAACAGCCAAGCTTAGACTATATATTTATAAGAAAGAAAGGAAAAAGCCTGTGTTAGAATTCATGAGGGAGCTGGGTGGTGGTCCCCTCAAAACAGTCAAAGAGTAAACAACAACAACAACAACTACACTGCTCTGCTCTGCCCCTAGAGCCTCTGGGAGGTGACAGCCTGCACTCACTTTATAAACAGCATGTCTGTTCTGAGCCTACCTGGGCATTCTAAGTCACTATAAATGC